GAACCTATGTGCATCATAAGAGAGCAGCGGGACAGCAGGAAGAGAAACTGCAGAAATCCATCTCCTGCTCTCCAGGTGTCGACCCCGTGACCTCACAGCGGAGGAATGCCCCGAACAACATCCAACCCACCAATAAGAAAGCCTCCCGATGGCAGGCTGAGGAAGCAGGAAGAAGCTTGTTCACTTGACCAGACCGCACCTCGGCTACAGTAACAGCGAAGGCAGCAATCTTTCTGGGAAGCACACCTGTTGCATTTGGACAAGCAGATGGTGCAACTGACAGCAGTCTTAATACAAAGTGCAGACACTGTACGTAGCAAAAGCACACCGGTTCCTGGGAGGAAATCTTCCAAATATGGGCAGCGGATCAGGGCCAACTGGAGAATTTTAAATGGCCGTAATCAGTATGCGTAAATGGCAATTATGACTGAGCACTTGCAGACGTGCCAGGAATTGACTGTGATAAATGGTGAATAAATAAATCTTCACAAGCTGAACATATTTCATCTTAAAATGCTCTCATGTCTCCAGGTTTCATGCACCTGCTTCATCAACCAAACTACCGCTGTCCCACAATGACAGGAGATACAACCAACCAGAATATTAAATATTGTTTAATCTAACAACTGTTTTCTACATGAATCAATTACTTAAGTCCTTAAAATGTCTGAAAACAGCAAAAAATACAGCACAAGTAACACCAAAGTGACATTAAAACACAACAATATTCAAATGAATCTTGCAAAAGTGAAGGTAATGAGCTTTTAAAAAGCTGGAACCTGTTAAATTGTTGGGAATAATCATAAAAAAAAACAGCAAATGATTAATCAGCAAGCAAAACTGGTTGACTAATTCGCTGTCAAATTATCGTATCCGCTTTAATACGGACATAAAATTAGTGGTTCATTCAATCTTATCTTTAAAGTGAGTTTTTCCTGATTAAAAAATGGTCAATTAATACCAGTGAACGCCTTCCAATTTTCAAAACACCAGAACCGCCCAGTAGAATCAGCTCTAACTCCTTGAAACCAATGCAGCAGGAAGGAAACAGTGAAGCAGTTTATCATGATTTTCGTCCAGCTTGCCCTCTTTCACATGCTCTCACACACACACACTCTCCAGGGCAGCATTGTCTTGTATGCGTAACCCTACACGGCTGCATCAGCTTCTGTTCCTGATACACAAGCACTGCTCAGTAACATTACCCATCGGATAACATGTTCTAGGTTACCGGTCAGACACACAAGCATGCACGTACAATAGCGAGCATCATCCTGCCCGTTCCCTGACCCCGTTCTGACCGGGCGTACCAGAAGGTTTTACTGGGCCAGGAGCAAACCACAAGGCACTGCAGGTAGAAAGCAGAGAACCCAGATCATGTCTGACAAAGACACACACACTTGGCATCACAAGTTCTTATGAAACATGGGAAGAACTTCCTCATTGTGCTTAGAATAACCAAGAGACAAGTCCCTCAGCCTTGCCACTAAGATGCACCCAATCCATCAAATTTAAGTTTTCTATTTCACCTGCTGGAGGAGCAGATGGAAATGAAATCAGGACAACTTTGTCCGTCAAAGGAAAGAACAGCAAATTGACTCCGACAGGACGTATTTTGACTTCACGGGCGCTCAGTATTTCTGTCCTCATTCAGGCACTTAACTGGAATGAAACAAACTGACAAACGGATTTAATGGGCTCAAACAAAGTGTCTGCAAAGTTACAATCGCGCCATATGTAGGCAGCGAGGCACCATCACACTGACTGACACAAGTGTGTGGGTTGTACCTGCGCGACAAAGCAGAAATGGTTACAGAACACAGGTCGTTAACTTATATAAAGCGTTATTCAACCCCTTTGCCTATTCATGTGAGAGACATAGAAAGGCCAAGGCAACAATGGCTACCCTCCTTCAACCTGACTACAGCCTGAACACTGCAGTTCTTTCTGTTCGGTTACATAATTTTCAGCGTGTTTGATTAAAAACACATACACACAGGGAAAAAAAGGGGGGGATTCTTTTTTTTTTTTTTTATAAGTGGCAAACTAGGAGCAAAAGAGCCACTTGCTTGCAATTGCATCAGTTTCAGCGCAAATCCCTGCTTACATTACGCTGTCGTATATCCACTACCATGACATTCTTAGCTCCGCATAAACACAGATTTAGAGGGCAAACATATTACGAAAAGAAATGGCTGTCATCTAAAAAAGAAAAAAAAAAAGCTGAAAAGAAACAGTGCGTGCCTCTTCTTCTTTTTTTTTATATTATTATTGAATCTGCTCTAAATACAAGATCAACACAAGAGGAGCTTTCATAACTTTTCAAATGGCAGCCAATGAGCTTTGTTTACATTCTTATTGTGTATAAATGTTGAAGCCAAAGAGGCTTAACTTTCAGAGAGCAGCGTACGGCGATGTAAACCTCATTCAGGAGGACATGGGTGTAGTAATTTTTCTTATTTTGGCAATCAGCCTGAACGTCGGGCACCTAGACTGAGGCTGGGGGGAAATGTCTAATCGGGAGTTTTCTTGCAGATATAATGTGTTCAAGTCAAGATTCTGCTCAAAATTTACCGGGAAATAGATTTAAAACATGTGATGCCGCATTAAAAACTGAGACACCATCAAATGCACGACTTTTACACAAGAAGGACGGCACGACGTCGTAACAACGGTTTAAACCCTGGATGCTGCAAAATGTGCAAGATGTGGCTCTTAAATAATGAGACCGGCCTTCTGTCAGTGACGCCTCAGTGTGCATGAATGAAGTGAGTGGTATAGATCGATCAATGAGAAAGCATGCCAAAAAAACTGCACTGTTCGAAACACTGATGTCAATTTGAAGTCGATTTAATCTCCAGCTCTGACTCCGACCTGCTCTTCACCACTGAGCTGCAAAAGTTCCAGCATTTAGGGCCTCAAGTTGCACGTCTTGATGAACAAACCTCAACTGAAACCAAAGAAAACAAAAAGACACATCCTGCGGCTATAAAACGGAGCCTTCCCTCATCTGAAATCCTATCTTACCTGTTAAGTAACGGATGAAATCTGAGTCAGAGGTCACATGTAGAAGATGTGAAACTCTGAGAAGCCAAATGAACCACCTGTGATGCTCCTCATCTCTAAATCATATAAATTATATCACAGGGGCCCTTTAAAAGCAACCTGCCTCCTAGTGTCCATCCCTCCGCTTAATGTCCACCTCCGAAAACCTTTTGATGCTCCGGACTTTCTGATGCTCCTGACTAGTGGAAGCAAAATAAATTGCTCATTCATGCACCACAGGGAGAATTCCTTTTTGCACTCCAAACCTAAGCACACCTTTTCAGCTGGAAGCCTGCCCCCCTCTAACTCTTTCCACCCCCAACACAACCCCCAACCCCCCAAAAATATCAGTTCTTCACTGAAAAAAAAGAAAAAAAAGAAGCTGCAAGGCCACATCAGCCTTTTCACCGAAGGAATGTCATCTGACGTCATGTATTTGGGATCAGATTTCTCCTTCTCTTCTTTACTCTCTCCGGTGAAAAAAGTATATGCATGTGTATGTGATAGGTTATGTTTTTTTTCTCCCTTCCTTTAGCCTATATTCTCCAACGTGCCCACTGGATCCAGAGCGCACAGCATGGATAGAGGGGGGGGTAAAGATATATGCGACTCCAAGATCATAGCGTTAATTACAACCCCCTCCTGCACCGCTAATGATGACAGCATGACAATTAACCGCTGTGTCCTGTTATTAAATACAGAGAGAGAGAGGAGGAAGAAAAAAAGAGACAAGACGAGCGACTGGAGCATCTTTAAATTTGCGTCTCCAGTGATGCGTAAAAGCGCTTTTAATATCGTCTTTTGGCGTGGGTGCGTAAAAGTCAGCCAATCGATCGCTTTTGAGCAGGAGACCAATGTTTGATTTCCACGTCTGCATCAGGGAGGCTGAGAGAAAGATTTGTCTTCTCTGCACAAACAGACACGTAGTCGTTTCTGAGGGAGAGAGAGAGGGAGAGAGAGAGAGAGAGAGGGAGAGAGAGAGGGAGAGAGAGAGAGGCAGACAGACTGGCTGGAAGGAATGCTAGGATATGCTGGAGTTGGGATTTTTTTTTTCTCCTCCAAAGCCCTTTTTTTAAAAAAAACTGCATTCTGCAAAGCGCACACAAACTCCACGCAAAAAAAAGTTGCCACCAACAGCCCCTTCAACGTCCCTCAACTGTTATCCAACGCAATCTAACCCCCCATAGTGTCAATTCAATGATTTCGCAACCCCCCTCTGTCAAATCTGACTGCCTCAGCATCTTCCATTCCAAGTTATTTTCCAGCTATAAAAGTGCTCATTTCCTGATTTTTACGCAGCTTACAACGCATCCGAGCGTTTCCACAAGCGCCACTCGCAACGCCACAACTTTGATTCGTTAGAAAACAAGTGAAAAAAGAAGGAGAGAAAAGCTTTTTCTCCTGTTGCGCACTCACTCCATCTGAAGTCCTCGGAGACAAAAACACATTCTTTCGTGAAAGCTGAGAAATCGGGACCACAAAGAAGCAAGGCTCCGAACCCCCGACGCATTCACTCGACCAGTGTGAAGAGCTAGCACGGGTAATCCCCCCGCTGCTTTTTTTTTTTTTTTCCTTTTTTCTTTTTTTGCTTTTCCTTGTTGTTTCTCTAATAAACGGGAAAATCTGCCCAAAAAGTTTTTTTTTTTTTTTTCCTTTTTTCTTTTTTTGCTTTTCCTTGTTGTTTCTCTAATAAACGGGAAAATCTGCCCAAAAAGTTTCGATTCACCCCCTCCTCCGCAGCAGCAGCAGCACTGAAGCAGTTTTCCTTTTTCCTTTGCGTTGGCCAAGTGGCCCAGACTGCCGGCGTCAGCGCTCAGCTCTCCAAACTCACACACACACACAGAGAGACACGCACTTCTAAAAAACTTTTTCGACATCGACTCCCGTTAGCCTCGATTCCCCTCTTTTTCTTTCCGGGGTGATACGTGCTGTGAAAGAAGCGTAAAAGAACTCACCTCGCTGTAATAAAATAATCTTCAAACAGACGGGGCTGCGCGTTTTTTTATTCCCAGGGTCGGGTCTTGCCTGTCTGCTGGCGCGGCGCGACGCGTACTGGGAGACTCCGCCATGTCAATCAAAACGCGACGCACATGGAGGTCAGATCCCGCCTCCTTCTTTTTTTTTTTTTTTTTTTTTACCGTAATACCAGCAGCGCACTGAGAAAGCCAAAACAGAAAACTGTCCCTCTTTGTGGCAGAAGTAATCTAGGGGGTTTTCTTTGCAGTCATTTGGTATTTTACGCACAATAAAACCAAAAACCAAAAGGTGATTTTCCAAACTATCCATTACCCAACTTGCCAAATATTGAGCCTAATGTTAACGTGAATCAATATTTATGGTAAAGCTGCAACAATTCATCAATTAGTTGTGAACTCCTACATGAGTTTACAACTATTTTGATAATTATTTGTTGTCTAAATTCCTTGATTCTGGCTCCTTAAATCAGAATATTTCTTTACTTCTGTGTGAAAATAAACTGAATATCTTCAGGTTGTGGATGAAACAGAGACATTTGAGGGCGTTTTCTTGGGCTTTAGGAAACACTGATTGACTTTTTTTGTACCATTTTCTGATATTTAATGGAAAATAATCAGAAAAATAACTGACAGTGGAAATAATCGTTAGTCGCGGCCCTCATTTTTGATGTGGTCTCATATAAATTCACTCTGATGGTGACAAATAGTATTCAAATGAGAAATCGTGTGTTGTATTTTATTGTTGTGGTAATCAAAGCAAAGACGTATAAAGCTGCAAAGAAAACATTAGTTTGACAATCACAACCACTGTTTAAATTTTTTCAGGAAGAAAAAAAAAGCCTACATTTCAAGGAGCATATCGTTTTTTAGTTCAACTATTAGTTGTTAATAAAATCTGTCCTGAAAGGTTGTGTCAGCCCACCAGATAGGCCAACTCTTCTGCAAATAAAATCAAGGCCGAATTCAGTTTACGCCTGTTTGTCATTTCTCGATGACACAGAATATGTTCATTCCGGCACCGACAGGAGCACATGACCTGCTCCAACCTGTGTGTTCTCCACTCTTACAACACCAAACAAAACACCAGATCAACAATTAATGTCAACACTGCAGAAGATAATATTTGTGACTGTACAATGATGTCCCGTAAGCGTCCACCCTTTGCAGATATTGTGTGAGTCATGCGGGCCAAAGCTCTGTCCGAGCACCTTTAAAACAACTTTAATGAGATGCAAACGTCCCTCTGGTGGCTGCACTGAAACCCGACATCCCTCAGCTGACAGGTCCAAGGGTTACAGGTCTGACACTGGGCCTGAAAATTAAAACACACTGACCTGATTTCAGAAAAAAACAAGAAAGAAAATCAGGATCAAAACAAGTTGTTGGTGAATTTGCCGCAGGCCTGGTTGCAAAAGGACCAGCAGACTTCCCTTATATCGTTCAGGATGAGATAATACTAGATAGCATCAGTGCTCCTAACTATGCATGTGTTCCGCTTCCTTCCTCTAGGTGCATTACAGCACAGCTTCATGTATATACAGACTCCTTTTTATCTGTGGAGGAGATTATTTGGACCTGTTGCTGCTTGAAATTAAAACAACACGTCAAGATTAAGTCATAAAACCCGTCTCGGTGCCTTAACTTGAATAGTTTCATTACAAACCCGCATATACACCACATTGGATGAAGGCAGCTCCTGCTCTTCCAAAATGACGGGATTTTAAAGGCAAAATGTGAGTAAAAACTGCAGATCATCAGAATGTCTTAAAATTTAGCTCCCAAACAAACAAAAAGAAACTTGACAAACCCTTGAACATATATGTTTTCTTTGACATTCACACAATTACAAGCTACACAAACAACAAGTGTTAAAAGCAGAGCGGCTCAATTAGCAGCAGCGTCTCCGTTAGTTATGTACGTGTTTGTCTCCAGTGATAATCCTTCCTGTATTTTCAAGCAAGCAGACTCAGCCAAATACACTCATTGCCCCTGAGTTCTAGATTTCTCTCTGCTGGCACACACACTCATACACAAACACACACACACACACACACATTCCAGCAACTGCACTAAGAAAACAGCCACTGTGTAATTCAAAGCCCCGTAGAAGAAAAATGCCCCTTTACTAGGACAGTGCTCCTTTTGAGTAATTGGATTAAATTCATTTCAATTCAGTAAAAACTAATCATCCTCAAAGGGCGATTGGTATGTCAGGCAGAAGAAAAAAAAAAATCATGCCTGTGCACCGAAAAAATGCAACTCAGGTTCAACGCAGCGGGTTCAGACAGACTGTGGAGCCCCCTAACTGCAGAAACAGAGAATAATAGCACCGAGGCTCACTGGGCTCCTTTCACTCGGTTTAATTGTTGAATAAATTATAATTTTTTCGCACTTTTAAGTAAAATAAAGTGTCCAAACATTCAGCACATTTTATTTGAAGCAAATCCATTAAATTAAATCCCTGACAAGTCAGAAATATTAATTGTTTCACATCCAAAAAACTCTGTGAACCTGATATTGGGGGGAAAAAAGGATTTCACAACTAGAAATAAATTGCAACAGGATTTTACTACTGTAGAAATCATCTTTTAAAAATCTTTACATCTTGAAAAATGCTTTCCTACAGTATATAACATCCAGCATTGTGCTTCAGTGGACTAATCTCTGTTATGTTTTGTGAAATTTGTGAAATAAAACCTGGCTTAATAATAATAAGATGGCTTTCATTGAATGTTTCCTTGTATTTGCATATTTCCACACAAACGTTTTTACAGTTTTTAGCTTTTAAACTTTTGTGTTTTGCACAAATTACACATATCTCTTCATTGTTTTGAATCTCCCGCACTACATTATATATATTTATGCATTAGAATAAAATTTTAAATGCTACGAAGCCCACATATAAGCAAGCATATCCCAGATAAAGACATGTTCAGTGCGTTATCCTACATAGTGAGGTTATTGTGCTGAAGCCAGTCGGACCGCAGAAAGGCCCAGCTTTATGTCAGCCTTCTCATTAAAAAAACAACAAAACACCAGCGACTGAAATCCAAAGAGACTTATTTAGGATTTAAGAGGGTTAGTGCTCGGTAAACAGCACTGTCAACACCAATCACAGACACCGAGCATGTGAAAATCCATTGTGTTTAAACTGGCTGTGCAGCTGTGGTGCTCCTAAAGGCCAAACAGAGGTAATGAGTTGTCTACCGAAACACGCCATCAGCTCAAAATTATAAGCAGAAAAATTTGCGCCTGTCACGAAAGCTGATGGAACGGCATTACTGGAAGAAGTTTGGGTTTGAACGGCCGCTCACATGAAGTTTTGAGACGAGCCAAGTTTTGAAAACTCTCACAGGTTTCGATGCACCCCATAAATCTTGCGCTCTTTAAAAATCTATATCCTCAATGGGCAACGTAATCTGGGAAAGTGTTTTCATATCCTGAAAAAAAATGGGATCAGATTGAAGAATTGAAGCCATAATCGCTCAGAAATATTGTATGTTTTACTCATTTTACAGCTTTAAATTTCTTTTAAAGTAAATGTAATAAGGGGTAATGACAACTTCAACATAAAACTCAAACTATTATTAGATGTTTTCACCTGTGTAACGCACTTAAAATGACCTTTACGTCAACCAAATACATAATAAAATGCTGCTTACACTGTAAAATCCATAATGATGATCCAGGAAATACCTTCACTTCTTCCTACAATCCTCACTTACATGGAAACTTGAATACAGCCATTTGTGTTTCGCTGTTCTACTATGCTATAGATCTGCATTAATCTTCTTTCTCTGCTGGAGACTTTAGACTTTTTTCCTCTACAGCAAATTCTTTCCAACGTGCAAAGAGCTTGAACATCTGTGGCTTCATCCCTCATCAATTATCCTCCGGCTTCCCATCAATCATTTAGTTGGGTATTGACTCACATTAGTCTGGTAAATTTGTACGATAAATAATATTGCAGGGCCCTTAACTCTAATATTTAGATAAGTCAAATAGACTATTTACTGTGTAACTGACAAACTCCCCCGAGGCTCCATTTAGTAGCTTGAGATTCTGATTATATCATGTGATGCTATCTGCAGATGGAGTTCGTCCATTCTTTGAGCCACATCTTGTGAACGCTACTTTACAGCAACGATAACAAATGACATGTACTTTAATGAACGCTAACAAGGTAACATTTATGTCCTGTATCCCACATTTATCTCCTCTATGTATTAATCGCAAAGGAGGAGACGCAAGATAAAGAGAAGCAGATGAGTTGGGGAAGGGCTTAGAAAGTTTTAAACAAGAGAGCAGTGAATTGTGCAACAGGGGCCGTAACTCAAAATCGAGAAAATGTTCCCACGATTTTGCACAGCGGAGACAGTGCATGCTGGCTGGTTGCACACAATCAGACTGGGATTTTTTTTTTCTTCTTAAAACATTTAAATAAATCCGTTAACAACAACCTTTGAACGACGTCTTGGACAGACGGCCGCTCGCGTTCGATTAGCTTTCGTGGCGGGATGAGGAAAGACTGGAGGGAGCAGATCTTGGAAGCGACTGTTCCCCCCCCTCGTATGTCAGGTCCAGGCCTCCACAACTACCAGATGTTTACCACCAACCCAGCTGCTCCCCTTCTTTATCCTCATCTCTCCTTCTCAGATTTTTTTTTTCTTCTCTCGTCTCTCTTTCTGAGGCTCTTTAAACCAAACCCTCCCTGTAATCATGCACACTCAGTTCACCAGAGGTCTTTTGAAGTAGGTGGAATGCGTCCAGCCATATGATAGCATGCACTGTATATTCTTATGGCAGATAGAAAGCAAAGAAGAGAAAGCAGAGGAGGGAAAAAAAAAGAAAAAGAGAGAGACTGCTTCCAGCTCTTCGGTGTGGTTTTCTCTAGATTTTAATCACGGCCTTGCTCCACTTTTACATCTTACACGTGTGCGTATTTATGTGTGTATGTTGTGTCTACATGCTGCTATATGTGTGTGTGTTTGCAGAAATGCTCTCGTCTGACGGATGATAACAGGCGTCTGGAAGCGAAGGAGATGGAACATGATGGTGCGTCTGTGTGTGTGTGCGTTGAAGGCACTTCCTCCCATAGATGCGAGGATGGAATTTACCTCATCGTGAATTCAAAAGAGTCGACCCAAAGCTCTCTGCACACCAACAAGAGCAGGCATGCCTTTCTTTTTCTGTCTCTCTCTCTCTTTCTCCTTGTCTTTGTTAACCTCTCTCTTCCCCTCCCCACCTCCTATTTTCTTTTGCAGCTGGTTGGACCATCAAACACTTCACCTTTTTTTCTGTGATGTATGAGTTTGTATCTGCATGTCCTGAGCTGTGCAGTTCATAGGGGCTTATAATGTATGTGCAAGAAAGAAAGAAAGAAAACTAGGAAAAGAAGCTGGATGTGATGTTGGATTTGATCGGCGTCATCACTTCCTGTTACAGTAGAAACACATTACAGTGTGCTCTGCTTTACGCTGCCTTGCGTAACACTACAGTATATTTTCTAGTTAAGTGAGGAATTAGTGGAAAACGATCCGCAACAGAATGTGTTTTGCAAAGACAAACTAAAATAGATTTTTCCTCAGTAAGCCGTCTTTGTTGTCTTTTGCCTTTTCAGTCTTGCTTGTGGTGTCTTTTGGCTTCAAATATTTGGTATTTAATATTCTTTTTGGCATCCGTCTAGCAGCTGATTTAAAGTCTCTCTGTGACCGAACACATCTCTCCGTCTCTCAAATGAATTGCTTCCAGTTGTTTCCTTGCTCTTTACAGGACTTTTCCAGACAGCCTCATCCAAAGCTCACGTTTCTGGTATCGCTGGTATGTGTGGAACAAGTAGAAAAACACTGCCTGTTTCGAGACCCCTCGCTGCCCCGGCAACATCTCTCTGTCTCCCCCCCACCACCACCCTCACCCTTGGGCTCTCTTTGATGAGATGAATTAGTTCCAGTTGTTTCCTCGCCCATTTTTTTTTTTTTTCTTGCGGGTTTCCCACTCGGCTTTATCTAAAGCTCAGCGTTTAGCAGAAATCTGTGTTTGCCCTCTCTTTGCCAATCATGTCATGTGTTCCTTCTTACGGAATACCTTCCAATCATGACATCACAGCGGGTGATATCACGCCGGCCGGGTCACGCCACCGCAGGGCGCCGGGTGTACGTCTGCCTCTGGTGCAATCAGGGCCGGTGGAATGTCTGTGACTCAAGGAGGTGGCACAGCGATCGGGTTGGCTAATTGCTTTGTCCCTGACATTTGTGGAAAACAAGCGGACTGCCATTTCAAACAATGACCAGTCAACTCTGACCTTCGATGGGAGGCAAATTGCTCATGTACAAATCACAACATGGTGGCATGCCAACTATTACACCACTCTCAGAACAATCATTGCATTCAGAACAATAAACCCCCTGAAGAACCTCCTGCCTACAGTCACCCTCGGTTCGCCATTAATTACATCCCTAAGAAAACACATAACAGTAGTTTGCTGAAGTGCTACACACATGAATCAGTGTTATCAAGATGGGCGGATCTACACTGGTAGATAAAAGTTTTGGAACTAGAACAAAAACCCTTCCAAATAAAAAAAACTGTGCTATGGATTCATCCAAAAACACAACCAGCTGAGGTTAACTACGCTATGAAAAGTTCAAAAACACAGATGATCTCAACTTTTGAAGCAAACACGATCAAATTTAGCTGGCAGCATTTTAGACGTTCTAACTGCAAAACTGATAACAGAGGAAGCCTTCTGACTTCTTTTTTCTGTACAGCCATGTTTTGACAGTGTTTGGATGGAGTGCCAGGAAATTTTGCAAAGACATTCTTTGTCCCCAGAAGATGAGCCTGAGTGACATTACGGATCACTTGCACTTTTTCTCAGGTATTTTTGGCATTGCTATTTGCACCGCTGTGGACTCTTGGTCTTGTTTCCCACTGTTTTATCTGAGCTCCAAAACGTTCTTAGAAAATTATGAGCAACAAGAAAAGCACTCGGAGAACGCAGTCCTCCGCCAAGCAGCTCGTTTCCGCCCATATTGTGATTTCCAGCCAATGTTGAAGTCCTGCATTCATTTTATCGACACTATTAGCTTCATGGATAATCAAAATATACCTTTAGCATTTGAATTAACATTGACATGATTAATAACAAGCTGACGGACTGACGAACGGTCGTTTTGTCCTCTCAAATATTTTGTACACTTATTTCTGCAGTTCCCTACTGGCTTTTAAGCTGTTAGCTAATGGTATGCTAGGTTGGCATAACTACAGTGATGCTATTGCTAATATAAACAGGGAGTAGCTTACGCGACGTTAGCACAACTTTGCGTAACCAACATCCACGTACGTATCCAACGTAAATTAAAAGCACAACAAAGCACGCGTCAGTCGTCCTGACACATGACAAAGAGTTAAAGTGAAACAGGAGACATATTGAGTCATTGTTAATGTCACAACGTCGTTATGAACCAATCTGTCAGTAGCTCTGCTCAGCCCACTCCTGTGATGCTGCCTGGCTACAGCTTCCTCCAGTAGTACTGAGATGACAGCGGTGAGGACTGAAGGACTGAATGTAGTCAGAGTTCCATCTAGTGGACAAACGGCACAACGACAGCATTCTGCACGACTGTGACACTAAACAGCATTTACTGTTTTATGAGAAAATAACCAGATGGTAGGCAACAACATCACCAAAATGTAATGATTTGTTCATTGTGTTATTATCAACATTTCTTGAAAATCTCATGAAAATCCATTAATAACTATTTGAGTTATCTTGCAAACAAACAAACAAACGCTGGCTAAAACATAACCTCCTTGGCAGAGGTAATAATCAATGTGCATATATATATGTAAAGTGGCATTTTTTCTTTATAAAACCCATAGTTTGTGCTTTAAAAAAAAATCTGAACAGTTATTGTTTACATTATTTACATGTTTGATCCACCAGCAGATGTTGCATCAAGCTGGACAGAGAAAGTGTAGGCCAATAGAAATAAAAGAAAGGCATTTATATCATCGCACATTAGCTGACTCACGCTGTAGCCAAACTCAGAATGCATCCCAGCTGGGCCAGCGCAGATAATCCTCTTGGAAAGTTACACAATCAATGAGACAAGGTAAAATCCACTGACAACAACAGTCATCTTGGGATTATTGGCTGTGGTTGGTATGGGAATCTCCTAAGTATGGTTTCTGCCAAATAAAACAATGTGCCACACTGACCAGAGGCTTCCTGTTTGGGTGGCTGTTGTTGTCATGACAACAGTGACGCCAGCCACAGTGATTCAGTGCAGAGCTGCTCACGTCATTTGTGCCACTACGAGCCATGTGGGTCAGAGAACACCCAAATGTGTAGTTAAAAATCTTTTTTTGTCGTCGTTGTTTTTGTTAAGTGTTAAGCACATTTTTTTGAAACACAAACACAGAAACAAGCAGAAAAGTCAAAGAATCTGCCTGAAGGCTAAAAGGTCAGAACTCCAAAGAGGATACTCTGCACTTTCAAAGACTGTAAAGTACACTCTGCTGAGCAGCAGCGCACACAAACACACTTAAACGACACCGTTTGTGTACACAAGGAGGGAATGATGACGTACACATGTGTGGGTGAGATGTGTGCGTCTGCGCCTGAGGGGAGAATGAGCACAAAAAATAAAAATCCTAGAATACATAACAAACGTTCAAGGTGGATTAATTTTTTTTTTTTTGAAACATCTTTATTTAAACTTTTAAACTTCAGACAAAAGCAACAAATTATAGGAGGCAGGACAAAGGGAAAGAAAGAAAGAAAGAAAGAAAGAAAGAAAGAAAGAAAGAAAGAAAGAAAGAAAGAAAGAAAGAAAGAGTGATGGATGGACAGAAAGAAAACCATGCCAATACAAAGACCATCAGAATTTGCATCACATCTCAGCGTACTCCGGTCTCCTCTGCACAGAGGAAGTACGTCAAAAATAGTCTTTTCTCTACCTCTCCAAGTAAAGACGTAATTTCAAAGTAAAAGTCTTGCATGGCTTCTCTCCTCGCCTGACGAACTCAGGACACTTTGCATAGAGCCAAAAAAGTTATCAGCCAGAGACGTCCCATCGACTTCAACAGTCCTTTTTTTTTAAATACTGTCTGGGTGAAAAGGTTTCCTTGAACGTGAGTGCGTGAGTGTGTGTGTGTGACCACAGCAGTGAAACATCAGCCTCAAAGGGTTTCTGGATGATCTTACATCATTTTGTGATTGTCAGGTCGGGCAGAGAAAGACGGATTTCACCCACCGTGCATCTAACACACAAACATACACACATCTAACATAATTTACCCCCCTTTTTCCCGAGCCACACAGTGGCACAGCAATACAAACCATCAAAATACATCAAAAAAATCAGAGTCGCTTCTATCTAGAATGGCTTATTATCACTGTTATATTATCATAATGTAGTTTTAATACACAGGCGAATGGAGCGCAAGTTCCTTAATGCCTCGCAGCGTCCATGAGCTCTCTTTCTCCCTTTCAGTTATTATGGTGTGTGTGTGTCTGTGTACAGTAAGTGCGAAGTTGAGGAGGTATGTGCCAGTGAATGTGAAGCCATTGAGGACAAGAGCTGTCCCATTCCTTATTAAAGAAATATACAAGCGCTCACACACACACACACACACACACACTGATCCGGGAACACAATCCCCATGGCAACAACATATAAACAGCCCGAAAGCGAGAGCTGCACAACACAGGCTGCTAAAACACACTCCTCTATCAGTGATTTATAAGCAAACACACGCTCCTAGCTATTACAGTAAAGGCAGTGTACACACATGCACCTGCCTCTGTGAGTGCAGTACAGTAAATAATGGAGCTGAAGGGTTCACCCAGTTTAAAACGAAACTCATCGTGGTATCCAGCCATGCAAAATGTTTGGCTTTTACTTTATTTACACATTTTAAAGATATCTGCCGGAAACATTTCTGCCTTTATCTCAATACAGAGGAGAATGGACATTTATTTGTGGCAAAAAAATAAAAATAAAAATCAGCACGTGCCAAAAACAGTGTCTTGTTAAGTCTGGAGGAACCTCTGTGTTCCTCAAAAGAAAGTGTCTCTAATAAAAAATAGTTCACAGTGTGTTCTGTGGTTTGTTTTGGGGAAACATGGTTTTAGAGAAGTTCAAATATTCTAAGAGCCACAAACAAAATTCCATTCACTTCCATTGTGGTGGAGTCCAGGCTGAAATATCACACTTACAGTATAGAAAATACCAAATTATTTGCAGGCAGGATACCATTAGAGTTTTTTTTTTTTTTCTCCGTATGTTTATGTGAACCATTAAGAGGCATCCTTGTGCTTTATGCGTGTGCTACAGGTAGGATGGACATCATACAACTTCATAAACACATGATATATGATAATGAAATGTAAGCAGATAAGCAAAAAAAAATCCACTTTTTTGGCATAAATGACTACAAAGGATCAAGCAGGCACTGTACACATTCAACAAGGATGTGAGAAAACATTAAGATGCTTCATCTACAGAGAGACAAGGGTGAAACATACCGGATGAAATGGACACAAATAACATTTACTTGCTGAACATCTTTACCGTTATCCTATTCCTGTGTAACGCACTGTGTCTGTGTACCTGCCTCTGACGTTTGCTGACCTCACTGAAGCGCTCCTATTCTACACTTAAATTTGCAATAAAATACAACAAAATACAAAGTTGTGGAAAGAAAACACACACAGTGGGATATTGCATGAGGACGGCAGGAGCGACTCACAGATCTTAGGCACATCTATTGCATTATTACAAATGTCACAGGTGGAAATGTTTTGGGCAACTCTACCAGAGAGTTTGATATGACTGGCAGTCTAAATCAGTTTATGTGCATATGTCATACCTTTCACTGTTACCTGATTGAGAATTTAAAAACCTTGAAATGGAGGGCTTGAACATTACAGTCCGTGTAGTTAGAGACGAGCCTGGAGGCTGCAGCTCTGATAATACTGCACTAATAATAGAGCAGCTCAGGCAAGTGCAGTCAACTAGACTCCCTTATGGAAATGTTTTAGCCGGCGACCGTGCACCGCACACGCCACCGACGGCATGCAGTAGCACGGACCGGCCACAGAGAGGAGGTGCTGTTACAACCACTGTTACGTGACCGCTCCCCGAAGGGACTCGAGGTTTTAACAACTTCCTTTACGAGAAACACAGTGACAAGCTGCACAGAGGGCAGCAGGTTCCTGAAGGCAGTGTCTGTCGGTGTGTCGTATGTATTAGAGCAGCTGATCTTCAATGGCAGTGCCTATCGCTGTCATTATCTCTTTGTATCTGCCTGTTCCTCCAACCAGAAGTCCATGTGTGTCACTGACAGCGTACCTGTCAGTCTACCTTCAGCACAGCAACATTTAAAAAAAAACAAAAAAAAAACGATTGTCTTCTGGCAGTAGTCAGTAGAGAATTCACAATAATAACTACATTATTTTACAGTAAAGTATTTTTCTCGATTCCTTTTAGAGCTTATCAAACATGTCTAACCCCTCCTCCCGCCAATCGCTGACTGAGTTCTCTCACACGGAGTGAAGCGCTGGAGGAGGCAGGGATTTGTTTTCTGTGTGAATACAGATGCACTGCTGCACCAAACACACAACAGTCACGCTTTACGGTCACACACACAGACACACACACACACAAAAAAACACTCTGTTCTGAAGGGGAGTCCAGAATCGTCGTAAGACAGATGTCACAGATGTGGGAATCCTCTTCTCTCTCCGTCTTTACATCCATGCATTCTTGGATGCATGCGTCCCAAAGGATCCTCTGTCACTTGTGTCTGTTTTCCAGAGAGAGCAGCTCAGGAATTCCAGGGAAACAGTTTTACGCTGACAGGTCTGATATGACCAGTTTTTCCATTTTATTCCCGATCTCTCCGGGGACTTGAAGCTCCTCGGATTCATAGTCATCATCGAAGGACCTGGGAAGGCAACACACTGGTTAATATACACGCTACTCTCCTCACTACCCCGGTTAATTAGAATGAGCGCATCGTACCCCTCGTGTAGCTGTTCATTTGCAGTCTCCTCCGCCACCAGTATCTCATATTCCTCTGAGGCGTATTTATCCCAGTCAGATGGCTCTGGACCTTCACTATCAATATCCTGGAACATCACATGCACAACAAATATCAGTATTTTACAACAAAATGCACAAAATAAACTTCATACTTCTTTTTTACAAAATAAAATGAAGTAGAAAAAGAAGAGTAGCTTGAACGCTATACAAACACATAGCACCTAGAACTGTCAAAACTAAGGAGCAAATTTAAAGAGATTAAATTTAAAAAATGAAATGATTAAACAACAGCAATTGCTTTAAAAAAAACTTGGCATGTTTTAATACAGTGCTAAAGAGCAGTGTGAACTCTACAGACAGTAAACAGAAGGCAAGTGTTACTACAGCATATCCCGATTATCTTCCACATCTCAAAAGTCAACAAGAAAAGTATGTTTACTCAATCAATATCACTGTTAAATTTTCCGTGATTTGCTTTTTTCTCGTCGCTATTGCAAGAAAGGATCATCACCCCTCATCTCAAACTGCCAGCTACATTAATATAGCTGAATGTTACATATGAGAGCCGCTACAAGAGTTGCAGATTACCTTTTGCACAGCAAACGGGTCTCTCTGTTCGTGGTCCAGGTATTTCTCCAGGTTGAAGAAAGTGTCAAAGAATATGTGGGCCATCCGGCAGCGCTTCAGATCACCCAGGGTTATCTTACCTGGAAAAAAAAACAACAACACACATGCATGTGTAAAAAGCAAAATGGTAGTGTGTGACTGTCCAGTGAATATATTACCGATACCGTGATTTAAAATGACGGATAAACTAACCCGAGCTCTCAGGTTTGACCAGGTCGAGCATCTGGCAGAGCAGATCCTGGAAGGGCAGAGGCTCGATGCCCATCCTCTCCATCCTCTCGCACTGCTCCTCATAGAAATACTCCAACTCAAACATGGACAGGACGCCGTCACCGTCCACGTCCATGCAGCGGAACCAGTACTCTATACTGGAAAGGGAGAGGACAAATGTGGAGTTAGACAAAACACAAAAACAGTTAAAACTAAAACAGAAGCACGGCTGGGAAACGGCGAGCGTTGTCGTCCAGCAGCGACGAATCACACACATCAGAGCAACCGTTTATTACCTGGTGGGATTTTTCTTGTCTTCCTCAGATATGAGGAACCAGACGAACTCAGCGTAGCTCATCCTGCCTTCCCTCTGCACAGCGTTACCCCTGGAAACCAGAGAGACAGAGCCGTTCACACTCGCTGCTGCTATTATGGTGAAGCAATCAGCTCCTCTGTGTTTGTTTATGTGTGCGTTTCCACTTACCGAGTGACGGCCCCCGAAAACAATCTCTCAATGATTCTGTTTGAGGATGCTGTCAGAGGAGAGAATGAGAAAAGTAAGCAAATGTAATTTGGTTCAAATTCGCAGAAACAAATAGATACTGTTGGAAACCATTGTGCAAACAGTACAGTCACTTGCTCAAGTGCTGATCCAGGAAATCCAATTTTGGCTAAGCGGTCGTATAATGCAGTTAAAGCGTTGAGGTGAGGACAAACTGTTGTTACCGTAATACCTGGTTTCTTTCTCCACATGCATTAAATGCTTTGTAGATTTAACCCTGTGGAGCCGGTCCAGGTGTGTTTCAGTCAGGGAAAGTAAACCCTTCTTACCGTGGTCGTTGTATCTCGCCAGGTCTTTGGGATCAATGTACAAGTCGTGGTCGGTGTCCAGTTCCCAGAACTTGCAGTAGATGACGTAGAAGTGTTCGTAGGAGAAGTAGTCGGTGATCTGGTTGATGTCGTCCTCTTCCTCCAGTAGCGCCAAAGTTTGCAGGAAGTTGCTCCTGCGCAGCTCCATCATGGTGACGCGACCCGTCCACGAACGGTTCACCACGTAGAATATCCGCTGGATCACCTGTGAGGAGCAAAATGATATCAATTAGCTTGAACGGATTAATTTTACAATATGGAGAGAAGACGAGTCTGATTAAAATCATTAATAAGATATTTTAAAAAACAGAACAAACACAATTACACAGAAATGAGATCGATTAAACGATTATTACTAAATATATAAATTATGAGAATAATCAGATTGTTTTGGACAATTGATCCAAAAAACTGAGGATTTTTACGTTTTTTTTTTGGTCTTGTGATGTGATAGCAAACTGTCTTTGTTTGGTTTCTTGTCCTAAACAAGCAATCTCAAGCACAGAGCTGAGTAGATAGTGATGGCTATTGTGCACAATTTTTGACATTTAACAGGTTAAACAGTTGAACAAATAATCAAAGTAAAAATCAGATACAATCCCTAGTTTGTTTGTTTGTTGTTTTTTTTTTGTAAGAAGCCATACTAGTGCACCACAGAATTACTTTCTGCATTGATCTGTACACTTTTGTCAACTGTATTTTTATTATTTATTCAAAGGACCATTTATTGTGCAACTGTAAAAACAGAAATAAACACTAAAAACACAAGCACATGAACACATCACATAAACACAAAACAGACATCAGCTTTTAAAGACCATATTTGTCGAAACTTGTTACAAATGTGCTAAATTATGAGGAAAATATTCAGTCTTATGTTTGGGTTTTTGTTCTTGAAGGTGTAAATATGCTCATATTTCCAGAGTTGAGTTGAGAAGACGTGGAAAAAAAAGATTCCCATCTTTCATTTTTGCTGCTTTTGCTAATGTCAAACGTTAACCAGATGGCAACGTCTCAAATTGAAGCTGTCAGACTGAGACGCCTGTCTGAAAATAGCATGAAACTTGCATGAGATCTGTACAAGCCCTGTCATCCAGATTTATTAAACATATTCCTCATCTTGCCAAAAGGGAGAGCGACCACGAGTGCATCTACAGCTGATATTTCTGTCCTCATTCATAATCTTAGCGAGACAGGTCTTTAGCATACAATGGAAACAAGGGGGATGCAGTCACTCTGTCCTGAAACACAATACTTGGGCTCGGTCAAGAGCGGATTAACAACCATTTCCTGGTACACGGACCTCCCGTGGTTACTAGTGTCTCATACAGTAGCGGGTCAGCTGGCCTAAACTGAATGGGAAGTGTCTTAAAATGGACATGCGGAGGGTCTGGACCGGCTGGAGGGAGGGCATCAGCGCTTTCCGTGATGTCACCTCACGCTGACGCACCAGAGCACCGACTCCTCTGCATCTCTGCACTTCTACGAAGCAAACGCTCAGCTCCTGTAGCACGTGTTGCAGCTGTCCCGGCCCGTATTCATAGACACACATGCTGCGCTGCTAATGTTACCCAGCTGATGCGAACTGAAAACGTTCTGCTGACAACATAGGAGGAGGTTATTAATATTAAACACTAATGTGATTGAAGCGGTTCTGATGATGTATTGCTTTGCAAGGAGAAGGAGCGCTCAGATAAGTTCATATTACAGTCATATTACAATGAAAAAGTTTGCCGTTTTGAGTAAAAGTTGACTCAAATTTATCAAAACGGAAGTGCACATGTATAATCAGTAAAAAATGTTTAAGTACTATAAATAAAATGACTTATGTCGGCCTCCTTTAGAGTGTGATCTCATTAGTGAAACATCATAACATTACATGTGGAATTTCATTGCTGTGACAAGTCAATGTGGATCACATTTTATACGTGCCGGACAGTTCAATCTTAATAAAACATAATATTTTACAACTACATCAAATCCCTCCTTTAAAAAAAACTGTGATTTGTAAAGCAACAAGTGACTGCAGTTGTCAAAGCAGATATGTATGTGACATAAAAGACAAAAGAATAAAAGATGGAAAAAAAACTGCACAGTACAATACTTGAGTCAGTCTGTTCAGTTGCTTTCTAACACTGGAGAAACTGATCAAAGAGTTATATTAATATTTATGTATAATGACAATGACTGTTCACTATAAAAGCTGTTACACATGTTCTTCTTTTATAACTTGGAAAAGCTGTTATTGTCCATACTGTGTACAGTATTAAACCACGCAACAAAGTGTTCTGAGCAAATTTCTAAGCTATGCTGTGTCACAGGTGTAAAAACCCTGTTTAAAACCCTTTTGTAATCCTAAGTTTGATTAGATTTTGGAACAAACTTGGCAGGTTATATGTTCCACATCAATGTTTGTCCATTTGGTCAAACTGCATCCTTATCCTCACCTACAGACATGAAATCTAAAGTAGATAAAGGCGGCTGAGATGAGTGTTTGTGGACTCAGACTTCTATACAGGGTGACGTTAGAGCTCAGAGTAGAACCCCTGCTTCCTCGAGTTGAAACGAGCCAGCTAAGTCTCCCTCCATGTGCTTGGAGCATCTGACAGGGATGCCACCTGGATGCCACCTTAGGGGGGTATTCTGGGCACGTCTGACTGGGAGGAGGCCACGGGGCAGACCCAGACTGCACTGGAGGGATTATGTATCCCTCCTGGCTCGGGAACACCTTTGGGATCCCACAGGAGGAGCTCTAGGTAGTGGCAGGGGATCAGAACACCTTTATTGCTCTGCTCAGACTGCTGCCCATGTGACCTGATTCCAGATAAGCAGCGGTGTTGTGACACAGCACATTGTCGTCACACTTTCTGGAAAAAATGCTGCTGCTGTCGAGCGTACCTGTGACCTTCAATACTTTTGAGTGTGAGTACAAGTTTATTAAAAATATCGTGTGACTCAAAGAGAAGAAGAAATGGTTTACCCATGTATACTACAAAGCAGACTTTCCAAAGCTCCGTACTAGAAGAATGTTAGTCACCTCGCTCTTGGTTGCAAAACTTAATATCAGGTCTGACTCTTGGGAAACTTCTGAGAAACACACTTGTTCATATTATTAGGAAGGAAGCTCCTACATTTTTCAAGATCTGGGAGATGTTTTTGGTATTTGGCAAAGATGGTGACCCTGATGATGCAGTGGATGAGTGAAGTTGTTTTAGAAGTATGTAAGTGAACTATTGTGAGAGATCAGTGTTGTTGTCTACTATAAGCCTTGGAGTGGGTTCTTTCCCCTTGTTTACTCAATACATTTTTCTTGTCTTCATTATATTCTTCTTGAAATCAACTTATTTCTACATTTGCAAGTGTTTTATTCATTGTTTAGTATTATTTTCCAGACTGCCTTTTGTTCACTCTGGGGAGAAGTTCAATGTAGAACAGTTATGTATTCACAGTGTGTTGTGCAAAATGTATTAAAAGCATAAAACCAATAAATATATGTTTGAAAAAATATAGCGTGACACAGTCTTTTGATTATTCTAGGTTGCTGCAGGCGTTTTGTGCTTTAGTTTTATAATACTGTACAAATATAAAGCTGTGATTGCATAACAGCCAATCCACGAAACAATTTGAGACTAAATGGTAGTCGTCTTATTTTTACACTCTAAATAGCTGATATTTTTCATGCCGTTTACCGTTGTTATGTAGCGTGAATGGAATTCAGGTGCATCCTTCAGAAATGTGAGCCCAGGATGCGTATCCACAATGTCCTGATCAGACCAAAAAAAAAAAAAAAACAGGAAGAACAAGAATAAAAATATGAAGCTTGTTTGAGAAATGACAGCACAGATTGATCAGTGATGGATGAAGGTGTTTACCTGCAGTAGAGGAATGAAGTCTTCCTGTTCCAGGTAGTTACAGCCCGGTTTAGCGAGCAAGGAAATGAACCTTGATGCATCATCGTGGCAACTGTGCAACAACCTGCAGGAGAGGAGATCTGACATCAGAGCCTGATTTGCAGCGGCGATGTTGTGGTTTTAAGAGTGGTTTTAAAGTTAAAGTTTGTCTTACTTCCTCCAGGTTGCAACGAATGAGTGAACAGACACGAAGCCCGTCCTCTCACCACCCGCTGCGTAGAACATGGGGGCCTTCCAGTAAAGTGGACACCCGCATGCCTGGACAGAAACACAAGTAACACCGCCGTTATGTCACACTGACAAACATGTGGTTGCTTCCTAGAATCAATGACCACACATGTTGAAAAAGGAGCAGAAACGTTGCACCACCCAGGCCGCCATATATGCAAGGATTCTCGGAAAAGAAAATGCTTCTGGAAAATGTTTATGGTGTAGAGAAGCTTGGCGGTGTCGAGATAAAACACATTGATATTAGAGTTGGTGCTGGTCTTTTCCACTTTTAAGCTTTGTTACGTGTGCCTCATGAACATCAGAATGTGTGTTTTTAAAACCGCTGACCTTGGCGATCTTGCCCATTTCGTAAATGTCAGCCTTCTCCTCCTCGAACTCGATGAAAGCCGTCTCGATGGCAGCGATGGCCGCATCGTGGTTGGGAGCCGGGCCCAGGGCAGGGAGCCCACGGGGGTAGTAGAACCTGGGAATGTTGATGGCAGGGGGAGGAGGGGTGACTATCACCGGAGCTGGAGGAGGGCTGGGCGAGCGCGGTGTGGGGATCGGCGTGGCTGTGGCCGCAGCAGGGGCTGGCGGAGGTGTTCCTGGTTTCTTTTCTGGTTTAGACTGCACCTGAAAACAGAGAGGTGAGATCATGAGTGAGGATGGACACGCAGGGTTGGGGTTAATTACCTGTTTGCGGTGGTAACTTTCCGTTTCTTTTAAACCATAACTAGTTACACAGCCAACACGCTAATGACTCAAACACCACCGTCTAGTCTTGGTCTTCTTGATGATGCATACTTTCTTTGTGCTATTTTGACATCCAGGTGCAAAATTCACCTTATTTTCCTGGCTTCAAATGAACTTTTACGGCACGCAAATAAAAATGTAATCACTTTCAGAGGTAACTTTCCCAGACAAGACGCAACTTCACTCTTCTAGGGAAAAAAAAACCCACGTAAGGGATGTGGTGGAAACTCCAGTGAGTCATAAACATGCATACAAGCAACAAGAGACTTGTTTTGCGATCTGTTAGTCACTACATCAGACAGACAGGTACGAAGCAGTCACAACTGTTGCCAAAAAAAGTTCCAGGTGGCACGAGGCGGCAGCAGTCAAGACTATGTAGGGCTTAACTTAATTGTTCATAATCTCAGGCATCTTAACTGGCTATTGAAGCAAAATAAACGACACACAGGAGGATAGTAGCGTAATACTGTGATTATGATGGCTTCATCAAGTCTTTTTAGTGTTAGAATGCACTGTTATGTGCACATATGCATGCACAATGATAGAGAATTTCAATTACAAGCAAGCAACATTTGATTTCTAAATGGGAAAACTGGCATTCTGGGTTGTATGTAGTCCCAAGACACGCTGTTTAAAAACCGTAGCCCTAAAATTACACCTTCCATCTCTATTTGTGATGCAACTCAAGACTCACTTCAGGTCGCACAGGCAAAAAAAAAAAAAAAAAAGCATTTCATACATACACTCATGAAATGCTCAGAAAATAATGATTTTATTACCAACATACTTACATGGTGTAATTCACAAGACATCAGTTTATACTACTATGAATAACAAGTTAAAATGGCATGACTAATCCGACAGAGCACCCATTTGCTTTAACCCAGGGGTGACATCAAAGGTTACACATTTCACATGAAGTGAAGAAAGCAGCAGAAACCAGAAATGACTCAACACTGCTGTTTAAACCAAAACCTAGTGTGTTCCAGGAGGAGCTCCCTGGTGTCTTCTCTTGGGCCTCCATACTGTGCGTATTGAGCAGGACAGCTGTAGCAGTCCTCCCCTTCTCAGCGTTCATTCTGTCACTCTATTCCTGCACCTCCTGCCCCTATTAATACCTCGCTGGTATCTGCCTCAGAATAGCTCGTCGTCCCTGGCATGTCACTCTGCGAGTATGAGAGCAACAAGACGCATCTACTGTATGTGTGTGTACACAATATAATAACATCTGTATGCGCGTAGAAAACGTGTGCATACGAAAACAGAAGTGAATAAAGAGGTGTACATTTAGAGATGATTAAGGTTTGAGTGTGTTTTCATGCTCTTTTCTTGCACCCCGTCCATCCTGCCTGTTGAACTGACTGACCTGCTGCTGCTGGAAGGACTTGAGTCTCTTCTTGAAGCGTGAGGGGAGGACAAAGTCACACCCCCTGGCCAGAAAGGCCAGCTCCCCCCTCAGGTCAGGGTCCCGCCGTAACGACGTCTCCTTGATCATCATGGTGGGGGCCGAGACTCGCAACCCCCCACCAGACACGGACACCGGTGAGACTACTGACACGGCGACTACAGACGGACCGGCTTGTCCAACAACCAAACAACCAGTGATGGGGAAAAAGGTTGGGCTGTAATAAAGACTTAACAGCTCAAATATCCTGTAACCAAAAAAAATGGCAAAAAACACCTCAGGAAGGAATATCCAGCATGTGTGCGACTACATGCAAAATGTCCTTCGGAAATCACTCACAAAATCTATCTCCTCCAAACTCCACTTGTACACACAGACTCCCAAAGCTGTGTCCTGTACAGCAATAATCCAGCAGGGTATCTGTGTTCCTTCGGCGTCCTGTGCTACATTGCAAGACGGGAGGCAGAACCATGGTACCAGACAACTTTATGGCCAATTGCAATCCCAAACCGCAGCTTCTCTCCGGGGGACGAAACCCTCCGGTGTCCCCCTGTCAGCTCTGGATGTATGTGTTTGGTGTAGCCTCACTGGTGCCTGCTGCTCCAAGCTGGGCTCTGACAAACTGCACTAAGAAACATGAGCCATTCCGGGGTCCGGCAATACACACACACACAAATACACGCACACACACGCACAGCAAACCGGCTGTCCTGAGCTTCAGGGTGGTGGGTGGGCAGGGGGGGCAACCATGGTGCATATCAGTGTGTAGTGTTTTGCAGGACGTGAGCCCTGCTCAGTTTCTGCCTTTGACTAAAGTTAGCCAGTAAGGAGTAACAACTCAAAGTGACTGATTGAAGTCATTTTATTTCAGTTAGAAGCCTCAGATGGTGTTTTGGTACGAGTGGGTCGGACCAGTAAACTGAAATGTTTTCTTAGAGGTAATCTGGGATGGAGTGATGAATCAGTGGGCAAAGCACCTGTTGGTAAATGTGTTGACATCAAGTATTTCCACTGAACTAGCACTGAGACTTAAAGCAGCTTTTAAACATTAAAGTGACTGTCACTCTTCATTAGACCAGAAACTAACAATCAGTCCTGATTAATCTGTTTATCATTCATTCAGTTATAATGCTATTAAAAAAACACAAATCCAATGCAAGGCTGCAATGAATCCCAATTACCTGTTCTCCAAGGTGATGTTTTAGCCCCACTAACCTTCTCAAACCCCCAAAGATTCACCTCAATATAAGAGAAAGCAATAAGAGCAGCAGCTCTTAACATCTGGGACGATGAAACTAGCGCATGCTTGTCATTTTTTGCTTGAAAGACAACTTACAGATTGATCAATTTTTAAAATAATAGCACATAATTTTTTCATTGTTGACTAACAAGTTCTGCTCTGCAATCTCATATCCAAACCTTTTGTGTTTACACTGACACAGAGACTGAGAAGAAAGAAAACTCTGATTTTTAAGAAGCTGGAGGCAAGAATTTATTTATCAAAATAGGCATCATGTCTTCTGCAGTATTTAGGTTTATGTTCTGATTCTTCTGATGAGTAAAATGCAGTTGTGGTTGTATTCTTGAAAGTAAAAATGTAATTATATCTGCACTCAATTTGCATATATGGCAGTAGTTAACTGCTAGTGAGAATAATCAGTTTGGATTTCCAGTGCGGCATCCATTTACCCAGAGTCTGCTCTTTCTCCCAGCTTCGCCAGGTCAGGCTAGAACCCATTCCGTGCCAAGCAACACCAAATCTGAAGGCTGACAGTGCACTGACAGACGGGGGATTCCTTGGGACAGACAAGCTTGATCTCTTTTAAAATTGCACTGCTAAGATATTACACTAAACGTCTGCCATTTAACAGTTTACACATAGCGTACTTTATATACGATGAAAAGGAAACCGTCAAATTTCTCCGACTCTGATCACGCAGTAAACACAGATTTGTTTTACTTGTGTTTCAGAGCAGCACAGATGGAGAATCTAGTGCCCTCTAGTGCTATATTGGGCTCAATGAGAAGTCGAAGGTAACTCATAAAACAGAAGGATGCGTCCAAGTAAAAATACATCACTGCTCTTGGATGCAAACTTTTCTGGAACTGAAGCAATCGAATAAAGTATGTTCCTCTCATGCTGTTTTTCATGTCATACCTAAATGTTTTCTTGTTGTTGTCAGTCTTCTTACGTAGTATTTTTAAGACGTGATCCATGTCTCAGTGCGTATTTCATCACTTTGCCTGAATCTGTGCCAAAGTGGTGTGTGGAAAAATAACTGAGGGATCTCTCACACTGGATGCAGAAAAGTTCCAAATGCGTACATGGGTGTGAGTGTCTTTCCAGAAAAATAAGTGAGTCACCTTGTGTTTTAGGGTAACTCCTCTCGCCTCCCTGTGCGCCCTACTGAATTCTTTGGAACAACTGGACTCTGTACTGAAGCCAAGGTCACATACCGATCCCACACACAGCCACGCGCACTCATGCACACATTGTCTTCTTTCTGGCCACCTCTCACCTCCGTGCTGCACAGGGGAAGATTGTGCAGACGCTATCTCGTGCCAATCGGCGAATGTGCACCAGATTCTCGCCGGCCGGTCGTGCCATGTTGAATCCCTCTCACCCCCTCCCGTTCCCTCCTCTCTCCTTTCATCTCCACTTCCCTCATCTGATCACTAAATGTTAGTCCCCACCACTTCCTCCGCACAACCTCGTCAACTGTAGCAATGCACTTGTGATATCGTAAATCTCTGTATAAAGAGATATGTGTGTGTGCATGTAGCTGTGAGTGTGTAAAGGGAGCCAGAACAGATGCCACTGGGCAGCTGTGTGCTCTTTTCCTGTCTGACTGACAGTCAGTGTAACTCTGCCCTCGCACAGTTTCTCTGCTCGATCCTAAAACCTTCCTCTCCCCTCTGTTCCCTCCTTCCACCTTTTGTAAATGTTTGCCATTTAGGTGGAACACTGCTACAAAATGAGTAAAACTTGCATATTGACCAGGCTGTGAGGACTGTGCGACTAGTGTGGGAGCCAACTAGATACTGAAATGTTCTGCTGCCGTATGTAGGAGAGCAGTCTGCTCAGGTGACATGAAAACAGCCACTGGGACAAACTGTTCCCACTTGGTGGGGATATATAAGGTCAGCAGCAATGCAAAAACCATAAAACTAGCTGGAATTTCAGTTAAATTCATTAGTTCCTCAACTCAAACTCCGCAACTGGATAACATATCACATATTTATATAGTGGGGGTTTCCCGATCAAGTTCGTATCCAATAACATTTTCCTAGAAAATACATACTTCAAGCATTCCAGGAGGTCAAGAACTTACAAGAGAACTCCAGTTGATTTCTACTGAAGCTCCTACCATGACCTGGATGACAGAGATTCTACACAGACACACTTCAAGTATACTAAAGTTATTAAAATCAGTTTGATGTATATGCTTGACAACTGAATAGCTCCGTAATGCAT